TTTAGTGTAATTGCATTTGGTTCAAACAGGATAAAAACATTTGTCTTTTTCTGAGAAAACTTCAGCATCCTAACCTGCACCACTAGTTTTTATATACAACCACCTCTATATTACATAATGGTAATGTAAAGATTATTTTGTAGCTTGCAAAAAAAAAAAAAACCCACAGTTTAAAAATCATCCTACATCAAAACAAGTTTTCCCACACTCGTTCTGACAGAGCAACAGCCTTGCCTTTCTTTGATCTTTTCTCCATATGGTCTATAACACATATGAGGCGTGCAATATTCAGCTGCCTAAACATGGTTGCTTAATACAGTCTCTCAGTCCTTCCACAACATCATTATATTTTCCTTGATATTACAACCAAATGGACTAGGCTGCCAGGCTCAGCTGTGTCAAAGTTGTTTACACTTCCCAAAAGAACAAACAGAAGCCTGCCACAAATGTGTTTTGTTCTTCACTATGAAAAGCTACCTGCATTATCAGTGCAAATATTTCACGCATGCAAGCTTTTTGACAATTAGCATGGAAGATGCAAATTATATCATTAGAATATGCAAGGAAAATATTTTCCTATAATCAACCTGCATTATTTCAAACATGGCATGATGTACCTCAGAAAAACAAATGGTAGCTGTGTAAATACAAAAGAAATGGCTTATTTATTGCATCCTTTTTTCTTTCAATGCTTTGTGTTTGATCTAAATCCATTAATCGAACACAAATTGATCATTAAGGAGCCTAACCAAGAAGCCTCTAGTTATCAGAAACACAAATAGGTAGAGTAAAAAGGCAACAAAGACTACACTGATTAAAATGCAACTGTTAAACCATTTCCACACATATATTCGAAAAAGGATCAAGATAACTACAGAAATTATCCAGATTTGAAAGTGATGAAAATTCCAGGTTTTTACTCAACTTCTTAGCTTTCTGCTACTGTACTGAATTAAAAATAGTTCATAATCAGAGCTTAATTTGTAAAAGTATGCTAATGATGCAGTGCACATGATGTTCAAGTGTCATCTATTCAATTAAATACTCAATTAGAATATTAGGTTTGAAGTTACAACACATTAGTCATCTAAAATTTGACTACAGAAGTCCAAAGCCCCATCTTCCAATAAGCTAACTAGTTTAGAAGTCCTGCTTTTCAGGACTGTCAAAATTCATCTCAAGACATCAACACAACCTGAACTTCAATATGCTCAGAAAATGGTGAACTCTTTTTTTTTCCCCATACGTAATGCAAGTTAAAACCCACTTCGAAGCAACATCTAACAGCTGAAATCAGGCAGGTCAGATAGCCATAGTAATGACCCCGAGAATGTCGTCTTAATCGGTCTCAGTTGGAAATAAGCAAGCATACCAGCTAAATGACACTGAGCACCTTGAAGGGTGTATTATAAATGATATGCATCATCTAAACCATGCAAAACCTGAGCCTCATGTTACCTTTATCAGCAGTTTTTAAATTCTTGATAAAATCTATACCCTGTGTGTGAAAGTGACCTCATGCTTCCTCTACCAAAGTGAAATCTAACAAATACTCTGTACCAAGAGCACAGTACAAGACATCCTGTCTCAATAATGTTGATAATCAGAATGGCAATAAATGTGGGGGAATAGCTCCAAAATCCTTCCTACATATAGCACAGACAAGAGATTTTGCACTGATAATTGAAGAGACAAGATCCTTATTATCCATTATTAGAATCAGCAGCTGTTCAGAGTTCATCTATATAAAATGGTGTTGAATTAGCTATAGCAAGCGATTCTGAAGCCTGTATATACACCTCTCCTAAAAAAATTATAGATTACTCGATAGGTGTCCAACATTTCTATTATACTAATTTGAGTCCTACAAATCCACAGAAGATCAGCTGTCACTTCACACTTTATATGCTTAGAGGCACTCAGAGGAAATGACACAGCAAACTGCATTTCAAAAATGTCTATGCCAAGCTCCTTCTCTCAGGGACGAACAAAACCCTGTGGTTCTGATATCCAGGAGAAAAACAAAAAGCCAACCAGAACTTTAAGTCAGAGACAGAGAAAACAAGCTAAGTTTTTTTCAAAGAGAAGAATTAAAAATCCAAAAGCTGAAGGACTACCTTCCAATGCTTGAAAAACTTACCTGGTGAAGAGAAAGGCGACATTCTAACACTGAATGAATCTGCTATTGACAAAGAAATTCTGGCTACATGATCTGTTCCTCTGAACAACCTAAATTTTGTTAGTTTATTGAAAGAGTAAAAATAGAACACCAGAATCTCCATTCACAAACTGATTTATGATCCGGATAAACAGTGTTCTCTTTTAGTGAGTTGAACCAGGCCAAACAGAAGATTCAAGTAAGTGCTAGTGCAGTTCAATGACCTGACTCTGCCATTGCTATTAAAAGCAAACTCATTGGAATTCCCATTATTTTGTTGGCACGTCTACAGGCAGTGGAGTTGGCTATCTTAGGATACCCACCAGATGTATAACACTTAGGTTTTTCTTGTATCCCTATCCCAGTCTCTTCAGACTCCAGCTTTATTCTGCACCTCTACAATGACTGCACTGAAAAAGAACACAAAGGCTTAGCCAACCCAGGGTCAAATTATTTGGAATAAGACACTATGGTAGAAGTCTCATTCCCTTCTGTTTCAAAAGATACCCAACTTGGAATAACAATGTTGCCTGTTCACAGAAAAAGCTTTCAAGAGGCCATATCTTTATGAATAATCTTGAAGTGGCCCTGCACACACAATCTCAGACTTGATTTCCTGTGGTTAATAAACCTGCAGGGAATTAAGTTCATTCCTCTTCCACCAAAAATCTGTCTCCAAACTTGAGAGCAAGTATCACATTCAAAGCATAAGATGATACCAAAGGTCTAAAAAACCCTTCAGCTTCTCAGTGCTCCTAGTACCATGCACATATTTTGAGTCAAACAAAATCATAGCTCATATCCAAAGCTGAAACAAAACTACAACTACCTTCTGTGTTATTCCAGCACATACAAGGAAATGAGGCTTAGATACCAGCTAATACCAGATAGATACCAGATGCTGAGAAATTGTAACTGCTTGCTGCTATCCAAAGAGGAAGCACTTTCTCCTCCTCTCTGCCATCTTCCCAACCTCTTCTACACAAACTCACTGCACCTCTCTGAAACCAACTGAACTTACTAACAACAGGGAAAGAAATTAAAATGAAGTTTGAAGGAGGCAAGGGGGGTCCCCTCTGAAGTTAGAGCATCTCACTGATGAAATCAACAAGCAGAGTGAGCACAATATATGGGGATTAATTTAATAGTAATATATTGATAATCAAACCCAACCTGAACTGATTAATCTGAATGCCACATCCCCATTACACATTTATGCAGCTTTTTTTCCTTTCAGCTACAAAATGTATAAACACGAAATTTTGCAAATATTAGGGGTTCACAATGACAACTGTTTCACCCTGAAAGAAACTACACTCATTGAGTAACAACAAAATCAATGTATTCTTCAACAGACTTGTCTTCAGAGCCACATAGAGCATTTTTAACAAGATAATACAAGTTACAGGTTAAGGTATGTGCAAAGAAACTGCATGGGGCTTCTCCTGGTTCTAAAGTCCTACCTGCCTTAACTCTGGCAGAAAATCCAGAAAGGAAATTTCCTGTTTAGCCCATTACAGTGTATTGTGGAGAGCTCATAGACATCACCACAGTCAGAAGAGAGTGAGACCCTCTCCGCCCTCAGCACTACACAACCGGCACAGATGTCCATGGATAAATGAAGCTTGCAATCACATCCTGTCCCTCCACTAAGCATTGGCTAAGCCACTATGACCTCCAACACAACAGCACTAATATCTGGTTTACCCCTCTCTGTACTAAACCTCATACACTAAACTCCCAAAAGCTAACCTTTAAGGAAAAGAAAAAAAGTTAATCTTTTCAGACAGCTAAATCTGCCAAAGGGACAGCCAGGTGAATGCCTGTGGACTGACACACTGGCTACCAAGGGGAGCAAGAAAGACTTGGCAGTCCCAAATGACAGGCGCATTTCACTAACTGACTAAAAGTCAATCTCAGCCATCTCTTTAACTTCCGGCAACTGATGACCTTAAAAAGCACTGACAGAACACAAGCAGAGAGGAATAGGGAACAGACCTGAAGTCTTTCCCAAAAACACAATTTTCAAAAATACACTGTCTTGTGAAATTAAACCTTTTTATTTCCTTTGCTTACCTAGAAATAGTCATGTTTCAGACTAAGAAGAGATAACCATTCCAAAGGACAATCAGTAAAATTTTGAATAGAAGAAAAATTGATTTACAACTTTAGTTATACACTCAAGAGAACCATGAAGATTAGAAATCATATCTGTCAAGTGGCTTGAGGTTTCTTCCATTTCTTTTCATGCTACTTCCATAATCTGACAGCCTAAAGCATCTGAACAACCACATCAAAACATATAAACTTCTTGTTAAAGATATAAGTTTAAGGACACAGTCTATTCTTTAACATAGTGTAACTTAATGGACATTCCAAACGGTTTTTTGGTGCTTTTGGATGAATTAGCCTCCTCAATATTCTATAAAACCTGTAACTTGAATTAAGAATCTTCAAACTTAACTAAAAGCATATCTGCCAATTTTATTGAAAGTTATATCGTGGGTATTACTGCAAGTTTTAGATATAAAAATAATGCATCAATAACTTTTCAGACAATATTCAGATGGACTTTTTAACAATGTTAGCAAGGCTCTATTCAATGAAGCAACATAACTGGAAAAAAAAACCTACTCTTTGTAACAACACTTGAGTCTACAGTTTTATAAATATAATAGAACAGGAGAAAGCCCAGCTAAAGGCAACCATGATATACACAGGTGAAATGCATGTGAAGCAATCAAAGTATTTTGCTTGTTACCTTGCTAAATAGCCAAAAATACTCATGAGCTACACCTGCCTGCAATCAAATAATAAAGTACTATTTAATAATAGATCCTACCTAAAAGCAGCTTCCCAAAAGCAGTTCATTCCACAAACATCAGAGGGCAGCATCCAATAGGAATTCCAGAAAGATACAGACAAATTCTTACACCTAACAGGATAAGACAAAAATAACCTATATAAGTGTTACTGATTTTATGGCAAAGTTAAAAAGATTATTTTCTAGCTCTAACATAACTTGAATAGTTAATTACCTGGCAGAAGACTGGCTACGTGACAGAACTTGGGTACTACAAAAGAGAAGCTACTAGGTGCCAACCAGGAGGATTCTTTTAAGGAAGACTGGTCCCCATCCTTTAGCCTTTCCTCTCCATGTATTTTCAGAGTGAAAAAAAAAGGGGCAGGGATTTCTGAAGGTCATTCTATGTTGTTGTCATAATATAAGTCCATAGGTAACACGGCAACACTGTGGCAAAATCTCCACCTTTGCAATGCCTTTGTCTACTTCAAGCAGAGGAACAAGCGGATAATTTCTTTTTCAAAGTTACATTGTCTATTTAAACACAATTCCTATTCATCCATGACCCTATTCAGTGCAAACCTGCAAAGCTGATTTTTAACAAAACACAGGGCTTTGCAACACCAACGAATTCCATTGTTTCATAACAAAAGGTTAATGCAATACCAAAATAATCACCGCAGCTGGCAATTTTCCTTCTCCACACTAATGACAAGACTAACAATTTATTGACTTGTGCCACACTAAAAAAGCAGGTTTAACTATAGTCCCCCACTACATTTTATGCAACAGTAATATAGGAAATATTTTAAAAGAGCAACAGAAGTGTGTTTCAGAGGCTCTGGTGAGGAAATCAACATCAAGATTTAAAATCTTAAATGAGCAAGTACAATACTGCAAAGCAAGGCGTATACTCAAGTGACCTCCTCTGCTCCCTCTTCCTGCACAGGTGACATAAATGCCAATAATATTTATCCTCCTTTGAAAGTTGGTATCTGTAAGTGAAAGGGATATGCAAGAAGAAAACCCCCAAACAGCTTGATGATGAAAAGGTATTTAAGGACTACAGTTCAAAATGCTACGGGAAGTTGGCTTTGCAAATTTGAAATGCATCAGCATCATCTTGGTGTGATGACCTGGTACCTGTAAAGGCCAAAGTGTTCAAATACCAGACTTACTAGAATAACGTAGTCTCAAAAAATGGCAAGCTGTATAATTTCTTTTTTTAACACTTGAGAAAAATGACCTGGTAAACAGTGTTTCACAAAAGCTCATGAAGTGCTATGGCTCTTTGGACTAGTTCTTTGGTATCCTGCAAGAATCAGTAAAGTCATTCTATCTCATGACTTAAGAATGGTCTCTACAAATAGATATTCAGGTACAAAAAAGGATAATGTAGATTGTGACTGGAATATCTGCAGTCCTCCGAGGAAAGCAAACAGTATAAAACTGCAAGTTCTGTCTGCCAGATTCTTTCATACATTAATCTTCATGGCTTTTGAAGTTTCTTAAAAACTTCAAGGCACATTAAGATCTTGTGCTTTTCTGAAAAACCATCTTTACAATCTCCAGCGTGAAGCATTTTGAATTAACTGTCCCACTGCTTTTAGGATAAATTAATAGACTCTCTCTCAGAAACAGTTTTCTGGTTTGAAAGACTATTATTATTATAGGGGATTCCTCTTCCAACTGTCAAGAGCTGTGTTTTTCTAGCTGCCTTGAGATACTATCCAACCCAGACTATCAAGGCAAGAGGCAAGCTTGAATTACTGCCCAAGTCTTTTCTCTGACACATTAGGCCTTTGCGATGTCCCATTTACCACAATAACAAGGTTGTCAGCCTTAGATATGATTCATAAATTTTGTGTTTGAAATAAAAATGTTACTGGGACACATATATGTAATTTACCTAATGTCAGACTAAGACTTTTTTCCTGCCTTTTTTTCCAGAGAACTCTCTCTCAGCTGACCATATGGTACCATATTCCACAAAGCTTTGCGTAAAAAGGATTAAGAGGCTGGAATCATTGGACAGCATTTTCTTCTTGTCGCTCACAATAAAATCATTCAAAATGACACTCATGAAGGTTTATTTTCATTTGAAATAAATTTTGAGGAAAGCTTAGACTACAAATAAGTATCACAAGTGTTTTACAAAGCTAGGGAGATGCACTGTATCTGTTCATCAAATGTGAACACTAATAGTTACCTGAGCAAGGTTACTAGTCAGACAGGAATAGTCACCTTCAGCATCAGGGAGAGATCTTTTGCTCACACCTATTACAGGTCATGTGATTAAAGGCCAGTCTCCACCAACAGAAAGCAGGAAATAATATCAGGTGAGGGAAACCCAGGAACATAGGGCACCTTGATCCAGCCCCAATGCAGAAGAGCAGTCAGTCAATGGGCCAGGCAGAAGGCCCACCAGATGAGAAAACAAGCGAGGCTCTCCAGACCAGCTTACCAGATGCCTACATAGGTGTGAGGCTCACTGTGGGACCAAGGTGAATTGGGGAGGAATGAGAATTTGAAAACAGAGAGAAGAGGGTCCAGTTACATGTAAACCCCTGGCCAGTCAGTACAATTGGCTACGTTGCATGCCTGACAATCAGTCTCCTCATTAAACTCAATTTCTGTTTTCCCGGGCACTGGTGGGATCCATTCCATGTGCATGTACATGTGCATACACAGAGGTGGAAGTGCCAGTGAACGAAAAGATGGTTGCAGATCACAGGGGCCCATGAGCCTGCAGTGTCAGAAACCGCAGAGACCTGTGTGCACACAGTGTGTAGGTGTGCATGTCGGTACACATCATCACTAGCACATATCAAACCAGACTAGCCAGCAAGTACGAGCAAGAGGCTTGGGAGCCAGGTATCATATAGGTCATAAGGCTGAACCAGACTGCAGCAATCAGAGGGTCTGAGCTACTTGAATGAGCCTCTCAACCTAACTACAAGAGACAAAGGCCTTAGGGATGGCTACTGGAAGGGTCATAAGGTCTAAGCCAGCCACTAGAGAGGCTCTGAGGGTCGGCTAATGCTAAGGCCATAGGTCTGGACCAGCTATTCGAGAGACTCACCTGCAGTCCCACGGCCAACTGAAAGATCCACAGTGTACTCATCTGTGCACATCCAAGAGGGTCCGAGTAGCAGAAATGAACTGGGCTGCAAGCTTAATGGGTTTGCATGCTCAAACCAGCAACAGAAAAGACCAGAGGATCCTGTTCCTGGATAGCCTGAGTGTCTAAGGCTGGTTACTGGAGGGAACCACACTGTATACAGTAATATATTTTAATTTAAAAGCCTTTCACCCTAACCAGGATTCTTCTGCTGTTTGTGCACAGTCTCCTCTGTGGCCAGTCACGTATGTATGCACTGGGGGCATGTATGTCCATTGGGAATAAATGCTCAGCTTTGCTACCGGATGGACCCAGGGACATGGAGCTGTAGCAACCTCACCTTCATCAGGCTACTAGGCTGGACAACTCCTAACACAAATGACTGTCAAAAATATAAAACAAATAAAAGTTTTTTAGAATCACTAGTATAAGACAAGCATTTTCAAAGATCTGTTTGCCAGTTCAGGTTTCTCTCTAATTTAGCTTCGCCACCACTGGACAGTAAAAATTTTAGTCTTGCAGACATCGCAAAGGTACCTACACTGTGACCTGAAAAGAAAAACATTTTTCAGAATTAAGGGACAATTTTGTGCGCAAATTACACAGTAATGCACAAGTCACACTGACAAAGACTGAAGCCCTGCGCTTGGAGTACTGTGTACAGTTCTGGTGTCCTCAACATAAAAAGGACATGGAACTGTTGGAACAAGTCCAGAGGAGGGCCACAAGGATGATCAGGGGACTGGAGCACCTCCTGTATGAAGATAGGCTGAGAAAGCTGGGGCTGTTTAGCCTGGAGAAGAGAAAGCTGCGTGGAGACCTCATAGCAGCCTTCCAGTATCTGAAGGGGGCCTATAGGGATGCTTGGGAAGTGTTGCAGAATGGCCCCAAGAGCAAGGCCATGGATCCTTAGAGGCCTTGTGGGAGCAAAGCAAGGTGTAGGCCTCACAGGTAACTGGAAACCGGATGTGGGAGGAGAATGTAAAGGAAGCCGTGTAGAACTAACCAATACTGTTGTGACTAGTAGGGGTGGCTAACACCACGCGGATATAAGAGATGCGCACCACGAATAAAGTAGGAGCTTGCTTATCACCCATACTGGGTTGGCGTGTCTTGCTTCTCCTCGCCGCTAACAGGGAAGGACTCTTCATTAGGGACTGTAGTGACAAAACAAGGCGTAACGGGTTAAAACTTAAACAGGGGAAGTTTAGGTTGGATTATAAAGAAGAAATTCTTTCCTGTTAGGGTGGTGAGGCAGTGGAATGGGTTGCCCAGGGAGGTTGTGAATGCCGCATCCCTGGCAGTGTTCAAGGCCAGGTTGGACAGAGCCGTGGGTGACATGGTTTAGTGTGAGGTGTCCCTGCCCCTGGCAGGGGGGTTGGAACTAGATGATCTTAAGGTCCTTTCCAACCCCAACTATTCTATGATTCTGTGATTCTAAGTTTCAACCATAAGGAACGCCCCAAACATCAGTGCTTTCGTTAACTGCACTGGTGGGCTTGCTATTAATGGAGATCACAGTTTCCAAGTATACTTTCCAGTCTGTGTGGCATCTTTTATCCTGCTGTAACTTCACAGCAAATTTAGCACTACATCCAAAGGGAGGGTTGCAGTCATGACTACTGCCTCCCTGTCAGCGCTGCATTAACAACCAAAGCCTAATCAACAACAAGAAACAACTGACAGACAGACTGGTGCCTCTGCCACAGCACAACGTGCAGGAAAGGAAACAGGAAGGATGAATTTTTTTTAGTTCCTTCCTGCTCATCATCACAGAAGTGAAAATTTGGGAAGATTGATGCTCAATTCAACTCTCAAATGCACTGAGAATTTCTGAAGAGCTTTTCCTGAACACCTGCAGCAGTATCACAAATTTCTCATGATGTATTTTGTCAGAGAAGCAATGGCTTTATTAGACAGGAAACAGCAGATGTAATGTTAAATGTCTGATACAGGACAACTTTTTAACTGGAAAAACCTTGATAATGTTTCATTAATTTACAACATTTCT